CTTCGGCCTCGCCCTGGCTGCCCGCTGCGGCCGCGGCCCACGCCTGGCGTGGCGCCTGGCGCCCTCTGGGCGCTATCTCCGAGCTATCTTTGAAGGACGCCACAGACGGCGCCTTCGGCCTCGCCCCGCGCCCGCTGCGGCCGCGGCCCACGCCCGGCGTGGCGCCTGGCGCACTCTGGGCGCTATCTCCGAGCTATCTTTGAAGGACGCCACAGTCGGCGCCTTCGGCCTCGCCCCCGCGCCCGCTGCGGCCGCGGCCCACGCCAGGCGTGCCGCGGGCGCTCGTGAGCGCTATCTCCGAGCTATCTTTGAAGGACGCCACCGTCGGCGCCTTCGCTGTAGCCTTTGCGCCCGCTGCGGCCGCGGCCCACGCCAGGCGCGCCTCCGGCGCTCGTCAGCGCTATCGCCAGGCGCGCCGCGGGCGCTCGTGAGCGCTATCTCCGAGATTTTTGAAGGACGCCACCGTCGGCGCCTTCGCTGTAGCCTTTGCGCCCGCTGCGGCCGCCGCCCACGCCAGGCGTGCCTCGGGCGCTCGTGAGCGCTATCTCCGAGCTCTCTTTGAAGGACGCCACAGTCGGCGCCTTCGCTGTAGCCTTTGCGCCCGCTGCGGCCGCCGCCCACGCCAGGCGTGCCTCGGGCGCTCGTGAGCGCTATCTCCGAGCTATCTTTGAAGGACGCCACAGTCGGCGCCTTCGCTGTAGCTTTTGCGCCCGCTGCGGCCGCCGCCCACGCCAGGCGTGCCTCGGGCGCTCGTCAGCGCTATCTCCGAGCTATCTTCGAAGGACGCCACAGTCGGCGCCTTCGCTGTAGCCTTTGCGGCCGGTGCGGCCGCCGCCCACGCCAGGCGTGCCTCGGGCGCTCGTGAGCGCTATCTCCGAGCTATCTTTGAAGGACGCCACCGTCGGCGCCTTCGCTGTAGCCTTTGCGCCCGCTGCGGCCGCCCCCACGCCAGGCGTGCCTCGGGCGCTCGTGAGCGCTATCTCCGAGCTATCTTTGAAGGACGCCACAGTCGGCGCCTTCGCTGTAGCCTTTGCGCCCGCTGCGGCCGCCGCCCACGCCAGGCGTGCCTCGGGCGCTCGTGAGCGCTATCTCCGAGCTATCTTTGAAGGACGCCACAGTCTGGCGCCTTCGTGGTAGCTTTTTGCGCCCGCTGCGGCCGCGGCCCACGCCAGGCGTGCCTCGGGCGCTCGTGAGCGCTATCTCCGAGCTATCTTTGAAGGACGCCACAGTCGGCGCCTTCGCTGTAGCCTTTGCGCCCGCTGCGGCCGCAACCCGCGCCAGGCGTGCCTCGGGCGCTCGTGAGCGCTATCTCCGAGCTATCTTTGAAGGACGCCACCGTCGGCGCCTTCGCTGTAGCCTTTGCGCCCGCTGCGGCCGCCGCCCACGCCAGGCGTGCCTCGGGCGCTCGTGAGCGCTATCTCCGAGCTATCTTTGAAGGACGCCACCGTCGGCGCCTTCGCTGTAGCCGTTGCGCCCGCTGCGGCCGCCGCCCACGCCAGGCGTGCCTCGGGCGCTCGTGAGCGCTATCTCCGAGCTATCTTTGAAGGACGCCACGGTCGGGGCCTTCGCTGTAGCCTTTGCGCCCGCTGCGGCCGCGGCCCACGCCAGGCGTGCCTCGGGCGCTCGTGAGCGCTATCTCCGAGCTATCTTTGAAGGACGCCACAGTCGGCGCCTTCGCTGTAGCCTTTGCGCCCGCTGCGGCCGCCGCCCACGCCAGGCGTGCCTCGGGCGCTCGTGAGCGCTATCTCCGAGCTATCTTTGAAGGACGCCACAGTCGGCGCCTTCGCTGTAGCCTTTGCGCCCGCTGCGGCCGCCGCCCACGCCAGGCGTGCCTCGGGCGCTCGTGAGCGCTATCTCCGAGCTATCTTTGAAGGACGCCACAGTCGGCGCCTTCGCTGTAGCCTTTGCGCCCGCTGCGGCCGCCGCCCACGCCAGGCGTGCCTCGGGCGCTCGTGAGCGCTATCTCCGAGCTATCTTTGAAGGACGCCACAGTCGGCGCCTTCGCTGTAGCCTTTGCGCCCGCTGCGGCCGCCGCCCACGCCAGGCGTGCCGCGGGCGCTCGTGAGCGCTATCTCCGAGCTATCTTTGAAGGACGCCACAGTCGGCGCCTTCGCTGTAGCCTTTGCGCCCGCTGCGGCCGCCGCCCACGCCAGGCGTGCCGCGGGCGCTCGTGAGCGCTATCTCCGAGCTATCTTTGAAGGACGCCACAGTCGGCGCCTTCGCTGTAGCCTTTGCGCCCGCTGCGGCCGCGGCCCACGCCAGGCGTGCCTCGGGCGCTCGTGAGCGCTATCTCCGAGCTATCTTTGAAGGACGCCACAGTCGGCGCCTTCGCTGTAGCCTTTGCGCCCGCTGCGGCCGCAACCCACGCCAGGCGTGCCTCGAGCGCTCGTGAGCGCTATCTCCGAGCTATTTTTGAAGGACACCACCGTCGGCGCCTTCGCTGTAGCCTTTGCGCCCGCTGCGGCCGCCGCCCACGCCAGGCGTGCCTCGGGCGCTCGTGAGCGCTATCTCCGAGCTATCTTTGAAGGACGCCACCTATCTTTGAAGGACGCCACAGTCGGCGCCTTCGCTGTAGCCTTTGCGGCCGGTGCGGCCGCAACCCACGCCAGGCGTGCCTCGGGCGCTCGTGAGCGCTATCTCCGAGCTATCTTTGAAGGACGCCACAGTCGGCGCCTTCGCTGTAGCCTTTGCGCCCGCTGCGGCCGCGGCCCACGCCAGGCGTGCCTCGGGCGCTCGTGAGCGCTATCTCCGAGCTATCTTTGAAGGACGCCACAGTCGGCGCCTTCGCTGTAGCCTTTGCGCCCGCTGCGGCCGCGACCCACGCCAGGCGTGCCTCGGGCGCTCGTGAGCGCTATCTCCGAGCTATCTTTGAAGGACGCCACAGTCGGCGCCTTCGCTGTAGCTTTCGCGCCCGCTGCGGCCGCCGCCCACGCCAGGCGTGCCGCGGGCGCTCGTGAGCGCTATCTCCGAGCTATCTTTGAAGGACGCCACAGTCGGCGCCTTCGCTGTAGCCTTTGCGCTCGCTGCGGCCGCGGCCCACGCCAGGCGTGCCTCGGGCGCTCGTGAGCGCTATCTCCGAGCTATCTTTGAAGGACGCCACCATCGGCGCCTTCGCTGTAGCCTTTGCGCCCGCTGCGGCCGCCGCCCACGCCAGGCGTGCCTCGGGCGCTCGTGAGCGCTATCTCCGAGCTATCTTTGAAGGACGCCACAGTCGGCGCCTTCGCTGTAGCCTTTGCGCCCGCTGCGGCCGCCGCCCACGCCAGGCGTGCCTCGGGCGCTCGTGAGCGCTATCTCCGAGCTATCTTTGAAGGACGCCACAGTCGGCGCCTTCGCTGTAGCCTTTGCGCCCGCTGCGGCCGCCGCCCACGCCAGGCGTGCCTCGGGCGCTCGTGAGCGCTATCTCCGAGCTATCTTTGAAGGACGCCACAGTCGGCGCCTTCGCCGTAGCCTTTGCGCTCGCTGCGGCCGCAACCCACGCCAGGCGTGCCTCGGGCGCTCGTGAGCGCTATCTCCGAGCTATCTTTGGAGGACGCCACCGTCGGCGCCTTCGCTGTAGCCTTTGCGCCCGCTGCGGCCGCCGCCCACGCCAGGCGTGCCTCGGACGCTCGTGAGCGCTATCTCCGAGCTATCTTTGAAGGGCGCCTCAGTTGGCGCCTTCGGCTTCGCCCCTGCGCTCGCTCGCGGAAACTCCGAAGGCATTGGCGTCGTTTCGGTCGTCGCAGGGGGCAGGGGTGGCGCTGGACGCATGGGCGACGCATTGCACAGGAGTAGGCGATGTAGTGTCAGCAAGAGAAGTTGCACACAGCCGTGGCCATTCACAGACTCGGGAGAGGAGAGGCGACGCACGGGCAGTGTTGGAGAGTGCGTTTTATGGCATGACACGCGCACGTGTTCGAAGGTTGGAAGGGGGAGGGCGAGGGGGAGGGTCTGGCTCCCCCTCGCACACTGTTGACATGAACATGCGTCGCCAGGGACGAGTTGCTCGCGCACAGGTCTAGGAGACATTTTCGAACACATATTTCGCAGAGGACAGTAGACGCAGATGTATTGGCGATGTCCTGCAGTAGTCATTCGGAGCAGGGAGTGTTTCAAATGGATGGAGAGATGCATGGGCGGTGCAATTCCCAAAGGCAGAGAAATTGCACACAGCCCTGGCCATTCACGGACTCGGAAGAGGAGAGGCGACGCACGGGCAGTGTTGGAGAGTGCGTTTTATGGCATGACACGCGCACGTGTTCGCAGGTTGGAAGGGGGAGAGCGAGGGGGAGGGTCTGGCTCCCCCTCGCAAGCTGTTGAAATGAACATGCGTTGCCAGGAACGAGTTGCGCGCGCACAGGTCTAGGAAACATTTCCGAACACATCTTTCGCAGAGGACAGTAGAGACAGATGTATTGGCAATGTGCTGCAGTAGTCATTCGGAGCAGGGGGTGTCTTAAATGGATGGAGAGATGCATGGGCGGTGCAGTTTCCAACGGCAGGCGTCGGGCATGCAGGATTATCCCCGTTGTTCGAACGTCTGTGAGCGAATGCAGGAGAGCGCGGATGCAATTTGCGAGCTCTGGGTGCGAGATGCATTGGCGATGCGTCCCAGCATGTCGCGGTGGAGGCATGTGGTGCAATCCCGCGTGGAAGAACAGCGTCGGAACATTCGTATTGGAGTCGCGGCGCTCACCTTCCTGAAAGGCGCAGCAGGCAGCGGCCTCTTCCAGATGCACGATGCATTGGCGATGCGCCTCAATGGCCCGCGGTAGATGGTGGAATGCTGGTTGCGCTCCGGAGGGGGCTCTCGACGCAGCGGCGATGCATCGCGGGATGACGCATAGAAATGCTGGAGCATGTTCTCTGGCACGCCGCCGTTGCCATTTGGGCTCAGGAGAGGTCTGCAACGCTCCCCGATTGTCTGGCAGGCGCACCCGCCGCCATCAGTCTGTGCAGTTTCTTGACATTGGTACTTGTCGCGCAGTCTCACCATGGGGCCGCGTCGCTGCGAGGGATTCGTCATGGGGGACGGCGCCGTGATGGAGTGCTGCTTCAGCCCGTGGGACGCCGGCAAGCACGCGCAGGCGAAGTACAACGGGCAATGCCAGTGGTGTTCGCCAGTACGCATGCAGACAATTTGCAAGACGCAGCGGCTTTCCAAGCTGGCGTCTCACAGCCTGGCGAATCTTCAGAAGCTCGACGCGGGCATCTACGATATCGCCGTGGAGAGGGTGGCCATGCGCGAGGGCGGAGACGAGCTCATCTCCCGTGCCAAGGAGATCGTCGCGAAGAACCAGCAGGCCGCGGCGCCAGCGCAGGATCCGGTGGATGACCAGGGCGACGTCGTCATGGAGCTTGCCGAGGAGGCGCCCGGCGGCGCGCTGGACGCAGCGGAGCCGCCACCGCCGCCGCCTGCCGTGGAGCGCCAAGGACAACGCTTGTGCGAGGGGTACGAGCTCGGGCGCGTCATGGGGCGCAAGCTCAAAGGCAAAGGCGACTGCGGCGTGTGCGTTTTCTCCAGGGCGGAGCCTGGCGAGCGCGCCTTTGCCGCGGGCGGTCATTGCGTGTTCTGCACGCCTGCGCGCATGAAGGAGGCGGCACAGAATCCCATGAAGAAGAAGCGCGTCATGGCCGACCTGAACAAGTTCAAGCAGGCGAGCGCGGCTCTCCATGCGAAAGCGCTCGGGAGGCTCCGCAGGCACCTGACGATGCATGACTACAAGGTTCTTGTAACTCCACACAATTGCTGCCGCGGGGCGGGAGAGCACGCGTGCCCGTTCAGCACAGCGAATCCGGGTCAGCCAGCGCGCGTGCTGAAGGAGGACAAGCACCTGTGCAGCTGGTGCGACCCGCAGAGGCTGCGCGGCATGCAGGGCGTCAAGCGCAGCGGCTTGCTGAAGCAATTGAAAGCCTTTCGCGAGAAGGACGAGGCTGTGTTCGACAAGGCCGAGGCAATCCTAAAGAGCGTCTACGGCGACGACTACGCGGCGCAGATGCGGAAGAAGACGGTTCGCCAGAATCAGCAGGCGGCCCGCGCTCAGAGAGCCCGGAGGCGCAGCGGGAAGACCGATTGGCCAGAGAAGCTCAAGAGGCGCGCTCTGCAGATGCAGAATCCAGCGGACGACAAGGAGGCGCGGAAGAAGTTCCCGAGACTCACCCTGGAGAACCACAAGAAGGTGGAGAACTCGTTCTTCAAGGACAAGGCCGAGAGGAGAGTCCGCGGGCGCGCCGACGAGATCCCCAAGGGAGAGGAGTTGGACCCGCCGCTGGAGGCAGCGAGCTTCAGCGATCTCTCCAAGGGGTTGGAGTCCTGGGCTCTGCGCGGCTCCTGGGGGATGTGCAAGGATTGCAGCGTCCTGCAGCCGCGCCCGATGCACGAGGTCGACATGTTCCGGGACGCCAGCGAGGAGATCTCGAAGAGCGCTTGCCGTCGGTGCAACGCCTCCCGCAAGATGTTCGTGCCGCTGCCGGAGCAGGTGCCGAAGAAACTGCGCGAGCTCTCCGAGGAAGCCGTCGAGGCGCTGAGGCCCATTGAGATTGATGTCGGCCCCGAGACGCGGTCCACCGACAAGTTCGGGCGGCCGAACGGGTATCGGAAGAAGATGAAGATGATCACCTTTTATTTCTCTCGCTGGCATGTGCGTGACAAGATCAAGGAGATCGAGGACAAGGAGATGCGCCACAGGGCGAAGAGGGCGCTGGAGTACCTGCTGTCATGCGAGGAGTCCTCGTACAAGTACTTCTACGACATGCATGAGAAGTTCCTCCGCAAGAACGGCGACGATGCCGCTGATAGGAAGCGCAAGCGGCCGTACCACTTCTTGCAGGAGGTCGGGCTAGAGTGCGCGCTGTGGCCACACCTGTACTGGTGCACGGAGATGACGGAGACTAAGGAGCAGTGGTCGGATGCGCGTCGCGAAGAAAGACGGCAGGCGCAGGAGGCGAAGAAGAAGCCGGAGTACGGCTACCGCAGTGACGACTCCGACGAAGACGACGGCAGCGGCGACCAGGAGAGGAGCGAGCGCACGAGCGTCAAGCGGTCCTTCATCACGAAATGCTTATCACCACTCCTGGGGTACGGGTCCAATTTCGAATTGTTGCAGTTCGTGTACGACTTGAATATGTGGGCCACGCTCGGCGGGAAGAAGAACCTGGGTCTGGACAACGTCCCCATGCGAGTGCTCATGAAGGGCCATACCTTCTCACCTCTGTACTGGAAGGAGGTTCACAACGGGCTCGTGGACCTTGTCCGCCAGATCGGCTTCCCCAAGCTGTTCTTCACCATTGCGCCGTGGGAGCCAGCGTTCAGGTACCACGACTGGTTGCGGGATGAGATGGAGAAGACTCTGAGGACCCGCATGTATCTGCCCGTGGGAGAGACGCTGCACATCACTCACGTGCTCATGGAGATTGTCCGTGGCCTCCTCGCGGGGAACAACCAGCAGCGCATGGATCGGGAGAGTATGTCGTGGACGAAGCACGTGTTTTCGGCGAAAGACTCAGATGGGAAGCAGGTGCGCGCGCAGTCCTTCACGCGCTTGGAGTTCCAAGACGGGAGCCGCAAGGAGGGGACGAAGCGCTACGACGGGTCCGGGCGGCCGCACTTGCACGCGTTGTTCTTCGCAGACGACGAGGCGATGGCGAACATGGGGCTTGACCATCACCTGTTTGCCACGAAGCCCGAGGACTTCCCAGACCACCTCAAGGGCTACGTGGACGGCTCGCAGATGGACAGGCACGGCGGCGGAGAGAGCAAGTGGCCGATCTACCACGGGCCGTCAGGGGTGCACAACAGCGATGGCATTCTGGAGCTGAAGCACACGGAGAACGACCACGACTCGGGCATGCGAGCCTTTTGCGCTGACGTCATGGACGGGCAACCATGCCACCAGGATTGGCTGAAGAGCGACGGCGAGACCATGCTCCTGCAGTATGTCTCCAAGTACGTAGCCAAATTCTCCGACAGCAGCTACGACGAGTGGATGAGCGACAGCGCCTCCGCGGACAGCGTGGCGCGCCGCGTGTGCTTCGAGTATCACCCGTACGAGCCGGAGATGATTCTGCAGCTGTGCGGCGCCCAGTTCCGGCAGTACGACATCTCTACGGCCAGTGGCGGCTTCCGGACCGTCTCGGCGCCCTACGCGGGCATGTCAGTGGTGCCGGAGTGGGTGCAGAAGTACGCCGAGTGCGCGTGGCGCCACGACGGAATGGCTCTGCTGGAGTGGTTGCGCAAGACCAACGACGACGGGAACATCGCGGGTTGGCTGGTTCGCAAGCACAAGCAGGAGCTCATGATGGCGCTCTACCAAAGGTATCGGAAGACCATGGACGACGGGGAGGAGCCGCTGACGCTCGACGCTTACTGGCGCAGCCTCCGCGCCGCGTTCAAGGACGAGCCGAACAGCGAGGAGGCGCCGATGACATTCGTGGAGTATCTCGCCGCGAGGTATAGGCGGGAGAAGAGCGACGACGAGGTGGATTTCCCCGAGTTGGAGCAGTTCGCGCAGGCGTACCGCATGCAGGGCGAGAAAGTCGTCAGCGTCGAGACCGTGTACGAGCTGAATGACCGCTACTACGGCCAGTGGGCTGCCATGAACGTGCCGTTCCGTTCGCTGGACGAGTTAGTATTCGAAGACATAGAACAGCGTGTCCCCAGGAAGTACCGCTACCTGGCGTCGGCGCTGCGGCTGTGCTCGGACCAAAGGCGCGTCGCCGCAGAGCATCGCGACCTGTTCACCAACGACAAGCTTCTCGTGGACTACATGAAGGCGTCCGCGAAGTCGACGAAGTTCAGCGAGAACGTTCTGAGCATGGTCGTGGGGCAAAGGAAGCTCATCAATATGTATCTGGCGGGTGTTCTTGACAAGAGCGACGAGAGCGCTGCGGCGGAGGCGGCGGCGGCCGCGGATGGGAATCGCAGACGTCCGCGAGACGACGCGGAGGGAGCGGCGGACGCGAGGTTCAACCAGCAGCAGCTCCAGTTCGAGTCCGCGATCAACGAGAGCGTCGACCGTGCGCTCAGGGCGAACCATTCGGATGATTGGGAGGACGCAGACGATGCGCGCGAGGAGGCATGGCAGAAGGGGAAACCCATTATCTGCCTCGGCAAACCAGGCACGGGGAAGACTACCGTGGTGAAGGCTTGCATCCGGCGTGCCCAGGACAATGGCGCCCGAGTGCTCTTCGCGCTCCCGACGGCACAGCTCGCGAGCCGCATGCGGGCCGCGCTCAACGACATGCACGGCGTGGAGGTGGCCACGTGTCACGCAGCGTTCAAGCTGAACGAGCCTGTCACGGAGTCGTTGCCGCTGATGACCATGTACGACCTGGTCGTCGTGGACGAGGTGTCGCTCCTTGACTGTCCGCAGTTTGAGCGCATGGTGAAGTTGTGGAGCGTCGCAGAGAAGGTCCCGGCGCTCGTGTTCCTGGGCGACAAGTATCAGCTTCCGGGCGTCGGGGAGACGCGCGCATGGGAGAGCGCCGCCTGGTCACGGCCAGCGTGTTATCACGTGAAGCTGCACGATGCGTGGAGATGCAAGGAGGAGCGCTTTCAGGAGATCCTCGACGAGATCCGCACGGCGAAGCCGTCGAAGGAGACGTTGGCGAAGATCTGTCGGGGGCACAAAGCTTGGAAGATGGGCGATCCGACGCCGACGGATCTGAAGAAGCTCTACGAAGCGCACCCGGAGACGACCGTCGTCACGTGTACCCGGAAGGGAGCGAATGCAGTGAACGAAGCTGCAGTGAAGGCTCTGTATGGTCGGAAGTCCCCGCTGGCAGTCCTTCCGGGCGACGTGGAACTGAACCCAGAGAACTACGAGCATGGGCAGTTCCGCACCGATCGCCGCCCCCTGCCGAGCGCTGTGCCGGTGTACAAGGGCATGCAGATTTACCTCACGAAGAACGTTCGCAAAGAGGATGATTTCGTGAATGGTATGTTATGCGTGGTCGAGAACTACCACGAGGCCGAAGACGTCCTGCGCGTGAAGACAAAGACGGGGCACCGCCTCGCTATTTTCCGCTGGACTGATCGCGAGAAGAATAATTCGGTATATTTTCCCATTCGTTTAGGATACGCTAGCACGATAGATAAGGTCCAGGGCGATGAATTTTCGCATATCACAATATACTTAGATGGATGGCCGAGGCCAGCTGCCGGATATACGGCGCTCAGCCGCGTGGCCACCTCGGATGATTATATGATTGGGGGCCATGTAGAGCGCAGCAGCTTCACTCCAGCGTTTGCATGATGTGGCGGCAGCAGCGCTCTGTGATTACATCGTGGCTCGGCGGGGCGCGGATGCTCGCTCTTGCCCCGAGGCCCGAAGCTCTTTGTGCCAGCATCGGCATGCCGTGCATTGCTTCAGGGCAGCGACTGTTAAGCGATTCCTTTTCGGTGCGTTTTGGAAAACCTTCATGCGTTGATGCGTCGGATGTTCAGCGCGAGCGTGGGTATGAGCGAGGGCGCGTGCGCATTTGCGTGTATAACGCACGCGTGGTGACCGTGTGCGCCACGTGCAAGAGCGCGGCAGAGGTATGCACACTGCTTGTGTACGCATGGCACTCGCATGAGCATGGCGCGAGCACGAGCGCGGGCGGTGTTGGTGAACACTGCTTGTGTGTGTGCGTGTATGACACCAGCCTGCGCATGGCGCGAGCAGGAGCGCGGGCGGCGTCGCATGCGTCGCACGCGCCTTCGGCACTCGGAGGATGCATGAATGCGGGCAGGAAGTGTAGCGCACGCGATGGCGAGCCACAGAGATTCGTGTCGGGGGGAGGGGGAGCGCGAGGGGGTGGGTCTGGCACCCCCTCGCGAGTTCGGGAGCGCCTGGGAGCCTGGGAGCGCCTGGGAGCGCTTGCGGAAGCGCCTGGGGGCGTGCCGGGAGCGGTTGGAGAGTCCCTGGGAGCGCCTGGAGCGTTTGGAAGCGCTTGGAGCGCCGCATGCAGTAAATTCATAGGTTTGGAGCACCCAGGGGTCCCGAATGCTGTATTTGCATAGGGTTTGCAGCCTCAGGGAATGTAGCGACTCGCGGGTTCCTTTTCTGAAGTCCTCGTAGCGCCTGAGAGCGTGCCGGGAGCGCCTGGGAGCGCCTGGGAGCACTTCGGAGCGTGCCGCGAGCGCCGTGGGAGCGTACCGCGAGCGCCTGGGGAGCTCTTGGGGGCTCCCGGGAGCTTCTGGAAGCGTCTGGGCGCCGTGGGCGGCCGAAAAGGCGCCGCAGGCTGTATTTTCATATGGTTTGCGGCCCCACGGACGGCCGAAAGGGCGCCGCATGCTGTATTTTCATAGGTTTGGAGCCCCAGGGGATGGCACCGATCGTAGCGAACCCTTTGGCTGGGACTTTGGGTTAAGGGTTCTTTCTATTCTCAGAAGCACACCCACGGGGATGCATACCCGCGGGATGCGAATCCTCCTCAGCGGCTATCGCCGCTTCGTCGGTGCGGCGTGCGCGCATGGGCGGACTCGCTGATCGCTCGGCCAGGCGCCACGGGCTTCTGACGATGCACCGCCCGTGGCTTGCAGTTTAGGGTTTAGGGTTTAGGGTTTAGGGTTTAGGGTTTAGGGTTTAGGGTTTAGGGCCTGCATTGGCGCATGCGCGCGCTGGCTGCGACCCCCCCCCACATCAAGGTTGTCGGGGGGGATCGCTGCCCAAGCCGCGCGCGCCACGGTTAGTCGCACTCCCGCCCCAGACCACCCAGAGTGAAGCCTTTTAGGGTTTAGGGTTTCTCCCCCCAACCCCCCTATCAAGGGGGGCTTTCGTGTTGTTTGCGAATGCGAATATTCCGCGGGGAGCACGACGACGCGGTTTTGGCATTGCGTTCTTGGTACGCGCGCAAAGCGCTCTGCGCAGGCGCAAGAGCCAGCGTCGTCGCATGGCCGACAATCTTTGCCGTGGGTTTAGCTGCATTCGGCTGGCTCCCAGTTGGCGCAAGGCTCTGCCGAAGGACGGATTCTTCTCCTGCGGGTGTTCATTGCAATCAGAAGGCACAGGAGAGGCCACAAAGGCCAGGCGTCGCCGCATGAGGTTTTGAATTACGGCGGTGGCCTGTCGCAGACGCAGCATTGCCCCTGGTTCCAGTGGGCCTCCTGCATTGGCTTTTGCCGTGGGCCTGGCTGCCCTTGCAGCCGCCGTCGTAGACGGCTGCCGCTGACGCAGCACATCCACAGGGGTCTGCATGTGCCTTCGGCGTTGGAAAGCAGCACTGCGATGGCGCTGGCGCGGCAATCCCATGAGCTCCCGATGGCCTCGAGCGAGTAGCCGCGCCATCGGGCTCCTCGCTGACGGCGACGCGCACGGCAGTTGTATTCGCCCGCGGCTTTGGGTTTTGCTTTGAAGTCGCCCCCGCTGAAGCGATTGCAATCATCGACGCAGACGCTGTCGACGCGAGCTTCGGAAGGCGGGAGGAGGAGCGCGAGGGGGTGGGTCTGGCACCCCCTCGCTACGATGCGCGCGCATGGCTGCGGCAGCACGTCCATGGCAGACCCCCTGAAATGCCTTGGGGGAGCTCTCTGGGAGCGCTGGGGGAGCGCCTCGACCTTTCCCCAGGATGGAAGCACGTGGGAGCGTCTGGGAGCGCGACAGGACACGCAGAGTGCACCGCGAGCGCGAGCCGTGAATTGCCCGTTGGGCTTGACCGTTGGCGTCGCCCCCGCTGAAGCGATTGCATTGTCGACGCAGCCGCCTTCGGCGCGAATTTCGCATGGCTGGAATGGGGAGCGCGAGGGGGTGGGTCTGGCACCCCCTCGCTACGATGCGCGTGCATGGCTGCTGCAGCACCTCCATGGCAAACCTCTTGGAATTCCTTGGGAGAGCTCTCTGGGAGCGCTGAGAGAGCGCCTCGAGGTTTCCCCAGGATGGAAGCACGTGGGAGCGTCTGGGAGCGCGACAGGACACGCAGAGTGCACCGCGAGCGCGAGCCGTGTATTGCCCGTTGGGCTTGACCGTTGTCGTCGCCCCCGCTGAAGCGATTGCATTGTCGACGCAGCCGCCTTCGGCGCGAATTTCGCATGGCTGGAAGGGGGAGCGCGAGGGGGTGGGTCTGGCACCCCCTCGCTACGATGCGCGCGCATGGCTGCGGCAGCACCTGCATAGCGAAGGAGCGCCGGGAAGCGCCGCCAGGGAGCGCTGCCGAGTGCTTGCGAATCATGAAAACGCTTGGGAGCGCCATGGGACCGCTTGGACTGCTTAAACGCGCTTGGGAACGCCGGGGAGCGCTTGGGCCCACCTGTGGGAGCGTGGGAGCGCATGGGAACGCCTGGGAGCGCTTGGGAGCGTGCTGGGAGCGTGCCGGGAGCGCCTGGGAGCGCGCCGGAGCGCCTGGGAATGCTTCGGAGCGCCCCGGAGCGCTCGGAGGCGCCAGGGAGCGCTTGGGAGCGCGCAGGGAGCGCCTGAGCAGGCTGGAAGCCTAGGAGCGTGCAGGGAGCGCTTGGGAGTACCTGGGACCGCTTGGGAGCGCCAGGGAGCGCCTGGGAGCGCCTCGGAGCGTGCCCGGAGCGCCTGAGAGCGCCTGGGAGCGCCATGCGCTTGGGAGCGCTTGGGAGCGTGCCGAAAGCGCCAGGAAGCGCTTGGGAGCGCCTGGGAACGCTTGGGAGCGCTGGGGAGCGCCTGGGAACGCTTGGGAGCGCCTGGGAGCGCCTGGGAGCGCTTGGGAGCGCTTGGTAGCGCCTGGGAGCGCTGGGGAGCGCCTGGGAGCGCTTGGGAGCGCCTAGGAGCGCTTGGGAGCGCTTGAAACGTGCGCCACCCGAAAGGACGCCGCATGCTGTATTTTCATATGGTTTGCGGCCCCACGGACGGCCGAAAGGGCGCCGCATGCTGTATTTTCATACGTTTTGCAGCCCCAGGGGATGTAGGCGGTTGCAGGGAACCCGCAGGCTGCGGCTGAGAGTTAAGGGTTCCTTTTCTTGGGAGAACCCCACGGGGTTGCATGCCCGCGGGATGCGAATCCTCCTCAGCGGCTATCGCCGCTTCGTCGGTGCGGCGTTCGCGCATGGGCGGGCTCGCTGATCGCTCGGCCAGGCGCCACGGGCTTCTGACGATGCACCGCCCGTGGCTTGCAGTTTAGGGTTTAGGGTTTAGGGTCCACCAGGAAAGCGTGTAGAAAAACACATGGATGTCGATGACACACTGCCGCGGTGCTCAAACCCCACCCACCCTGGATTCCCATTACATACATCGGCAAACACCACTCGATGGAGGAACATTAAACTACGATGCGTCATCGAGTTGGCACGCACGTACCCTAACGGTCGGGTAGGTCGGGTCGGGCGGACCCTAACGGCGGGTCGAGTCGGGCGGGCGGGCCCTAACGGGCGGGTCGATTTCGTCGTCGTCGTCGTCGTCGTCGTCGTTTTCGTCGTCGCTTTCGTCGTCGGCGTCGCTTTCGTCGTCGCCGTCGTCGTCGTCGGTCCCAGCGCGCTGGGCAGGGCCTGGGAGCGCCTGGGAGCGCCTGGGAGCGCCTGGGAGCGCCTGGGAGCGATTGGGAACGCCTGGGACCGCCTGGGAGCGCCAGGCCAGGCCAGGCCCGCTCGTGACACCCCTACCCGCTCAGCCCGGGGTGAGCGCTGGGCAGGGCCTGGGAGCGCCTGGGAACGCCTGGGAGCGCCTGGGAGCGCCTGGGAGCGCCTGGGAGCGACTGGGAACGCCTGGGACCGCTTGGGCGCGCCAGGCCAAGCCAGGCCCGCTCGTGACACCCCTACCCGCTCAGCCCGGGGTGAGCGCTGGGCAGGGCCTGGGGGCGCCTGGGAGCGCTTGGGAGCGCCTGGGAGCGCTTGGGAGCGACTGGGAACGCCTGGGACCGCCTGGGAGCGCCAAGCCAGGCCAGGCCCGCTCGTGCGCCTGGGACCGCCTCGGAGTGCTTCTGGAGCGCCTGGGAGCGCCTGGGAGCGCTTGCGAGCGCGTGGAAACGCTTGGGAGCGCTTGGGATCGCCTGGGAGCAGACCGCCGGCGCGCCTAATTACGGAGCGCGTGTGTCGCCGAAGGTGTTTTGCGTGCGCGCGCGCTCTGTCGTGGCAGTTTTTGCGAATCGACGCTCCCAAGCGATACGATTCGATAGGGATGGTAGAAGTTTAGGAATTGGCCGCCGCGGCCCGAGGTGCGCCGCATGGTACGATTCGATAGGGATGGTGGAGATTTAGGAATTGGCCGCCGCGGCCCGAGGTGCGCCGCATGGTATGATTCGATAGGGATGGTGGAGGTTTAGGAATTAGCCGCCGCGGCCCGATGTGCGCCGCATGGTATGATTTGATAGGGAAAGTCGCAACAGATGCCGCGCGCGCCGAGGCGCATGTGCGCCGCATGGTATTTTTTGTAAGGGATCGCAGAGGGCGGACAGCGCGGAGATACATCCCAGAAGAATTGGTTTACCATTTAAATTAATAATGCTTTAGGTTGTTTAGGGTTTAGGGTTTAGGGCCTGCATTGGCGCATGCGCGCGCTGGCTGCGATCCCCCCCACATCAAGGTTGTTGGGGGGGATCGCTGCCCAAGCCGCGCGCGCTTTGAACTTGCACTCCCGCCCCAGACCACCCACAGTAAAGCCCTTTAGGGTTTAGGGTTTCTCCCCCCAACCCCCCTATCAAGGGGGGCTTTCGTGTTGTGTGCGAATGCGAATATTCCTCGGGGAGCACGACGACGCGGTTTTGGCATTGCGTTCTTGGTACGCGCGCAAAGCGCTTTGCGCAGGCGCAAGAGCCAGCGTCGTCGCATGGCCAACAATCTTTGCCGTTGGTTTAGCAGCATTCGGCTGGCTCCCAGTTGGCGCATGGCTTTGCCGAAGGACGGATTCTTCTCCTGCGGGTGTTCATTGCAATCAGAAGGCACAGGAGAGGCCTCAAGGCCAGGCGTCGCCGCATGAGGTTTTGAGTTACGGCGTTGGCCTGTCGCAGACGCAGCACTGCCCCTGGTTCCAGTAGGCCTCCTGCATTGGCTTTTGCCGTTGGCCTGGCTGCCCTTGCAGCCGCCGTCGTAGACGGCTGCCGCTGGCGCAGCACATCCACAGGGGTCCGCATTAGCCTTCGGCGTTGGAAAGCAGCACTGCGAGGGCGCTGGCGCGGCAATCCCATGGGCCCCCGTGGGCCTCGAGCGAGTAGCCGCGCCGTCGGGCTCCTCGCTGACGGCGACGCGCGCGGCAGTTGCATTCGCCCGCGGCTTTGGGTTTTGCTTTGAGGTCGCCCGCGCTGAAGCGATTGCAATCATCGACGCAGACGCTGTCGACCCGAGCTTCGGAAGGCGGGGGGAGGAGCGCGAGGGGGTGGGTCTGGCACCCCCTCGCTACGATGCGCGCGCATGGCTGCGGCAGCACGTCCATGGCAGACCCCCTGGAATGCCTTGGGGGAGCTCTCTGGGAGCGCTGGGGGAGCGCCTCGACCGTTCCCCAGGATGGAAGCACGTGGGGGCGTCTGGGAGCGCGACAGGACACGCAGAGTGCACCGCGAGCGCGAGCCGTGCATTGCCCGTTGGGCTTGACCGTTGGCGTCGCCCCCGCTGAAGCGATTGCATTGTCGACGCAGCCGCCTTCGGCGCGAATTTCGCATGGCTGGAAGGGGGAGCGCGAGGGGGTGGGTCTGGCACCCCCTCGCTACGATGCGCGTGCATAGCTGCTGCAGCACCTCCATGGCAGACCTCTTGGAATGCCTTGGGAGAGCTCTCTGGGAGGGCTGGGAGAGCGCCTCGACCTTTCCCCAGGATGGAAGCACGTGGGAGCGTCTGGGAGCGCGACAGGACACGCAGAGTGCACCGCGAGTGCGGGACGTGGGTCGCCCATTGGGCAGGACCGTTGGCGTCGCCCCCGCCGAAGCGATTGCATTGTCGACGCAGCCGCCTTCGGCGCGAATGTCGCATGGCAGGAGAGGGAGCGCGAGGGGGTGGGTCTGGCACCCCCTCGCTACGATGCGCGCGCATGGCTGCGGCAGCACCTGCATGGCGGGGGAGCGCCGGGCAGCGCCGCCAGGGAGCGCTGCCGAGTGCTTGCGAATGCATGCAAACGCTTGGGAGCGCCATCGGACCGCCCGGACTGCTTAAACGCACTTGCGAGCGCCAGGGAACGCTTGAGAGCACCTGTGGGAGCTTCGGAGCGCCTGGGAGCACATGGGAACGCTTGGGAGCGTTGGGGAGCGTGCTGGGAGCGTGCCGGGAGCGCCTGGGAGCGTGCCGGAGCGCCTGGGAGTGCTTGGGAGCGCCCCGGAGCGCTCGGAGGCGCCAGGGAGCGCTTGGGAGCGCGCAGGGAGCGCTTGAGCATGCTCGAGCGCCTGGGAGCGTGCCGGGAGCGCTTGGGAGTACCTGGGAGCGCCTGGGAGCGCTTGGGAGCGCTTGGGAGCGCGTGGAAGCATGCGGAGCGCGCCAGGGAGCGCCTGGGAGCGTGCCGGGAGCGCTTGGGGGCGCCTGGGAGCGCCATGCGCTTGGGAGCGCTTGGGAACGCTTGGGAACGTGCCGAAAGCGCTGGAGAGCACCTGGGAGCTCCTCGGAGCGCCTGGGAGCGCCTGGGAGCGCCTGGGAGCGTCTGGGAACGCTTGGGAGCGCCTGGGAGCGCCTGGGAATGTTGGAAAGCCCTTGGGGCCGCTTGGGAGCACCTGAGAGCGCCTGGGAGCGCCTGGAAGCGCTGGGGAGCGCCTGGGACGTGCGCCAGCCGAAAGGACGCCGCATACTGTATTTTCATATGCTTTGCGGCCCCACGGACGGCCGAAAGAGCGCCGCATGCTGTATTTTCATAGGTTTGGAGCCCCAGGGGATGTAGGCGCCCGCTGCGAAGCCTACGGCTGGGCTTTGGGTTAAGGGTTCTTTCTCTTCTCAGATGCACACCCACGGGGATGCATACCCGCGGGATGCGAATCCTCCTCAGCGGCTATCGCCGCTTCGTCGGTGCGGCGTGCGCGCATGGGCGGACTCGCTGATCGCTCGGCCAGGCGCCACGGGCTACTGACGTTGCACCGCCCGTGGCTTGCAGTTTAGGGTTTCGGGTTTAGGGTTTAGGGTTTAGGGTTTAGGGCCTGCATTGGCGCAAGCGCGCGCTGGCTGCGACCCCCCCCACATCAAGGTTGTTGGGGGGGGTCGCTGCCCAGGCCGCGCGCGCCACGGTTAGTCGCACTCCCGCCCCAGACCACCCAGAGTGAAGCCTTTTAGGGTTTAGGGTTTCTCCCCCCAACCCCCCTATCACGGGGGCTGTCGAAGTGGTGCGCGCAGGCGATCGCCGACGCGGCCGTGGCACTGCGCATCCACTTGAGCATGCGCGCAGGGCGCGTGATGTAGGCGCGTCGGCTCGTCGCCCCGTCGAAGAGGCAGCCTTTGGCGATGTCGGCGTTGAGCTTCGCCGTTGGGCTGCCGCTGGCGCAGCATGTCCATGCGTTGCCGCCTTTGCCTTCGGCACTGGATTGCGACACTGGGCTGTGAATGCTGGGATGCGCGCGTGCGGCCGCGGCCGTAGCAATGCGCGCCGATGCGAGCGCGCGCGCAGGGTGCATGGCGCTGGCGCGTCAGGTCGCCTCGTCGATGAGGCAGCCGTTTGCACCTTCGGCGTGGAGCTTCGCCGGTCGGCTGCCGCTGGCGCAGCACTTCCACAGGGGTCGCTGCTTGGGCCTCGTCCCCGCGCCCGCTGCGGCCGCGGCCCACGCCTGGCGCGGCGCCGGGCGCACTCTGGGCGCGGCGCCACAGACGGCGCCTTCGGCCTCGCCCCCGCGCTCGCTGCGGCCGCAACCCGCGCCAGGCGTGCCTCGGGCGCTCGTGAGCGCTATCTCCGAGCTATCTTTGAAGGACGCCACAGTCGGCGCCTTCGCTGTAGCCTTTGCGCCCGCTGCGGCCGCCGCCCACGCCAGGCGTGCCTCGGGCGCTCGTGAGCGCTATCTCCGATCTATCTTTGAAGGACGCCACAGTCGGCGCCTTCGCTGTAGCCTTTGCGGCCGCTGCGGCCGCCGCCCACGCCAGGCGTGCCTCGGGCGCTCGTGAGCGCTATCTCCGAGCTATCTTTGAAGGACGCCACAGTCGGCGCCTTCGCTGTAGCCTTTGCGCCAGCTGCGGCCGCCGCCCACGCCAGGCGTGCCTCGGGCGCTCGTGAGCGCTATCTCCGAGCTATCTTTGAAGGACGCCACAGTCGGCGCCTCGGCTGTAGCCTTTGCGCCCGCTGCGGCCGCCGCCCACGCCAGGCGTGCCTCGGGCGCTCGTGAGCGCTATCTCCGAGCTATCTTTGAAGGACGCCACAGTCGGCGCCTTCGCTGTAGCCTTTGCGCCCGCTGCGGCCGCCGCTTACGCCAGGCGTGCCTCGGGCGCTCGTGAGCGCTATCTCCGAGCTATCTTTGAAGGACGCCACAGTCGGCGCCTTTGCTGTAGCCTTTGGGGGGGGGGAGGAGGGGGCGGCCGCTGCGCCGCGGCCCACGCCAGGCTGCCCTCCAACCCGGTTGGGCGCATCTCCGAGTTGATGGAAGGATGCCCGACAGTCGTCGCCTTCGCTGTAGCCTTTGCGGCCGCTGCGGCCGCCGCCCACGCCAGGCTTGCCTCGGTCGCTTTCGTGAGCTCTATCTCCGAAGCTATCTTTGAAGGATGCCACAGTCGGCGCCTTCGCTGTAGCCTTTGCGCCCGCTGCGGCCGCCGCCCACGCCAGGCTTGCCTCGGGCGCTCGCGAGCGCTGTCTCCGAGCTATCATTGAAGGGCGCCACAGTCGGCGCTTTCGGTGTAGCCATTGCGCCCGCTGCGGCCGCCGCCCACGCCGGGCGTGCCTCGGGCGCTCGTGAGCGCTATCTCCGAGCTATCTTTGAAGGACGCCACAGTCGGCGCCTTCGCTGTAGCCTCTGCGGCCGCTGCGGCCGCAAAACCCCACGCCAGGCGTGCCTCGGGCGCTCGTCGCGCTATCTCCGAGCTAATCTTTGCAGACCCACCGTCGGCGCCTTGCTGTAGCCTCGCGCCCGCTGCGGCCGCCGCCCACGCCAGGCTGCCTCGGGCGCCTCGTGAGCGCTATCTCGAGCTATCCGAGCTTCTTGAAGGGCGCCCGGGCGCCACAGTCGGGCCTCGATGCTCGCTCTCGCCGCTGCGGCCGCCGCCCACGCCAGGCGTGCCGCGGGCGCCCTCTTGAGCGCTTCTCCGAGCTATCTTTGAAGGGCGCCACAGTCGGCGCCTTCGCTGTAGCCTTTGCGCCCGCTGCGGCCGCCGCCCACGCCAGGCGTGCCTCGGGCGCTCGTGAGCGCTATCTCCGAGTTATCTTTGAAGGACGCCACCGTCGGCGCCTTCGCTGTATCCTTTGCGCCCGCTGCGGCCGCCGCCCACGCCAGGCGTGCCGCGGGCGCTCGTGAGCGCTATCTCCGAGCTATCTTTGAAGGGCGCCACAGTCGGCGCCTTCGCTGTAGCCTTTGCGCTCGCTGCGGCCGCGGCCCACGCCAGGCGTGCCTCGGGCGCCCGTGAGCGCTATCTCCGAGCTATCTTTGAAGGACGCCACAGTCGGCGCCTTCGCTGTAGCCTATGCGGCCGCTGCGGCCGCAACCCACGCCAGGCGTGCCTCGGGCGCTCGTGAGCGCTATCTCCGAGCTATCTTTGAAGGACGCCACAGTCGGCGCCTTCGCTTTAGCCTATGCGCCCGCTGCGGCCGCCGCCCACGCCAGGCGTGCCTCGGGCGCTCGTGAGCGCTATCTCCGAGCTATCTTTGAAGGACGCCACAGTCCGCGCCTTCGCTGTAGCCTTTGCGCCCGCTGCGGCCGCCGCCCACGCCAGGCGTGCCTCGGGCGCTCGTGAGCGCTATCTCCGAGCTATCTTTGAAGGACGCCACAGTCGGCGCCTTCGCTGTAGCCTCTGCTCCCGCTGCGGCCGCCGCCCACGCCAGGCGCGCCGCGGGCGCTCGTCAGCGCTATCTCCGAGCTATCTTTGAAGGACGCCACCGTCGGCGCCTTCGCTGTAGCCTTTGCGCCCGCTGCGGCCGCGGCCCACGCCGGGCGTGCCTCGGGCGCTCGTGAGCGCTAGCTCCGAGCTATCTTTGAAGGACGCCACAGTCGGCGCCTTCGCTGTAGCCTTTGCGCCCGCTGCGGCCGCGGCCCACGCCAGGCGTGCCTCGGGCGCTCGTGAGCGCTATCTCCGAGCTATCTTTGAAGGACCCCACAGTCGGCGCCTTCGCTGTAGCCCCTCTGCGCCCGCTTGCGGCCGCCGCCCACGCCAGCGTGCCTCGGGCGCTCGTGAGCGCTACTCCGAGCTTCTTGAAGGAGCGCCCCCAGTCGTCGCCTTCGCTGTAGCCTTTGCCGCCCGCTGGGCGGCTGTCGCGGCCCACGCGGGCGGCAAGGCGTGCCTCGGCGCCTCGTGAGCGCTATCTCCGAGCTAATCTTTGCAGGACGCCACAGTCGGCGCCTTCGCTGTAGATCTGCGCCCGCTGCGGCCGCCGCCCACGCCAGGCGTGCCTCGGGCGCTCGTGAGCGCTATCTCCGAGCTATCTTTGAAGGACGCCACCGTCGGCGCCTTCGCTGTAGCCTTTGCGCCCGCTGCGGCCGCGGCCCACGCCAGGCGTGCCTCGGGCGCTCGTGGGCGCTATCTCCGAGCTATTTTTGAAGGACGCCACCGTCGGCGCCTTCGCTGTAGCCTTTGCGCCCGCTGCGGCCGCCGCCCACGCCAGGCGTGCCTCGGGCGCCCGTGAGCGCTACCTCCGAGCTATACTTGAAGGACGCCACCGTCGGCGCCTTCGCTGTAGCCTTTGCGCCCGCTGCGGCCGCCGCCCACGCCAGGCGTGCCTCGGGCGCTCGTGAGCGCTATCTCCGAGCTATCTTTGAAGGACGCCACAGTCGGCGCCTTCGCTGTAGCCTTTGCGCCCGCTGCGGCCGCCGCCCTCGCCAGGCGTGCCTCGTGCGCTCGTGAGCGCTATCTCCGAGCTATCTTTGAAGGACGCCACAGTCGGCGCCTTCGCTGTAGCCTTTGCGCCTGCTGCGGCCGCCGCCCACGCCAGGCGTGCCTCGGGCGCTCGTGAGCGCTATCTCCGAGCTACCTTTGAAGGACGCCACAGTCGGCGCCTTCGCTGTAGCCTCTGCGCCCGCTGCGGCCGAGGCCCATGCCAGGCGTGCCTCGGGCGCTCGTGAGCGCTATCTCCGAGCTATCTTTGAAGGACGCCACAGTCGGCGCCTTCGCTGTAGCCCTTGCGCCCGCTGCGGCCGCCGCCCACGTCAGGCGTGCCTCGGGCGCTCGTGAGCGCTATCTCCGAGCTATCTTTGAAGGACGCCACAGTCGGCGCCTTCGCTGTAGTCTTTTCGCCCGCTGCGGCCGCAACCCACGCCAGGCGTGCCTCGTGCGCTCCTGAGCGCTATCTCCGAGCTATCTTTGAAGGACGCCACAGTCGGCGCCTTCTCTGTAGCCTGTGCGCCCGCTGCGGCCGCCGCCCACGCTAGGCGCGCCGCGGGCGCTCGTGAGCGCTATCTCCGAGCTATCTTTGAAGGACGCCACAGTCGGCGCCTTCGCTGTAGCCTCTGCGGCCGCTGCGGCCGCCGCCCACGCCGGGCGTGCCTCGGGCGCTCGTGAGCGCTATCTCCGGCTATCTTGAAGGGCGCCACAGTCGTGCGCCAAATCCTGTAGCCTCTGCGCCCGCTGCGGCCGCCCGCCCACGGCCGGCGTGGCCGCGGCGCTCGTGAGCGATATCTCCGAGTTATTTTGGAGGACGCCACAGTCGCGCCTTCGCTTAGCCTCTGCGGCCGCTGCGGCCGCCGCCCACGCCGGGCGTGCCTGTCGGGGCTCGTGAGCGCTACTCCGAGCTATCCTTGAAGGACGCCACAGTCGGCGCCTTCGCTGTAGCCTTTGCGGCCGCTGCGGCCGCCGCCCACGCCAGGCGCGCCTCGGGCGCCCGTGAGCGCTATCTCCGAGCTATCTTTGAAGGACGCCACAGTCGGCGCCTTCGCTGTAGCCTTTGCGGCCGCTGCGGCCGCGGCCCACCCCAGGCGTGCCTCGGGCACTGTCGCGTTCGCAATGCGTTGGTCTGTGTGAGCGCGCGTCAAGCAGAAGCCGCATGCATTCTTATTTGCATACAGTGCATGCTAAGTCGTATGGGACATAGCGACTTGTGTTACACCCTTTGGTCGCTATGTTTCTTCACTTGGATTGCCGCGCTTGTTGTCATCATATGTATGTCATTCTCTACGCCGCCAGGTAGACAGCAGACGCAGCAGAGGCAGCAGGTTGCGCATTTGTTTTCTTTAGTTAAACTGAGCGACGATGTAATAGCAGAGACAGCAGAAACCAGAGAGCGACAGCCAAGACAGCAGGGACCGCAGGGACAGCAGAGACAGCCTGGTCCGTCGTCGTCGCCGTGTCCGACGGCATGGCGGGGGAGCGCGAGGGGGCGGGTCTGGCGCCCCCTCGCACATCAGCGGTGAAAGCGTGAGCATTCCCATGTGGCTGTCTGTTGCATGTCATTTCCATCGCAGTAAGCCGTCATTGAAGCTTTGCCCGGCTCATGGGAGTTCAAAGAGTAATTGCCGCAAAGAGGCGGGCAGGGGCAGCCGTAGCTCGCAGAGACTGTCACTGTCGCCGTCGCCTTTTCCACGGCAGCAGAGGCAGCACATAGCAGCAGAGACAGCGGAGACAGCAGACACAGCAGAGGCAGCAGGTTGCGCATTTGCTTTCTTGAGTTAAACTGAGCGACGATGTAATAGCAGAGACAGCAGAAACCAGAGAGTGACAGCAAAGACAGCAGGGACCGCAGGGACAGCAGAGACAGCCTGGTCCGTCGTCGTCGCCGTGTCCGACGGCATGGCGGGGGAGCGCGAGGGGGCGGGTCTGGCGCCTCCTCGCACATCAGCGGTGATAGCGTGAGCATTCCCATGTGGCTGTCTGTTGCATGTCATTTCCATCGCAGTGAGCCGTCATTGAAGCTTTCCCGGCTCCTGGGATTTCAAAGAGTAGTTGCCGCAAAGAGGCAGGCAGGTCGGGAAGCGTGCACGCGTACCGAGAATTACCGTTCTCGAAGGCATGCAGGGTTACCTCCGTTGTTCGAATGTCTGTCAGCGAATGCAGGAGAGCGCGGATGCAATTTGCGAGCTTTGGGTGCGAGATGCATTGGCGATGCGTCCCAGCATGTCGCGGTGGAGGCATGTGGTTCCTTGGGATCTGCCTTTGCTCACCGCAACATCAGTCGCGATGTCGTTGGTTCCGTTGCCGCTTTGGCTCAAGCCTGATTTCGCCACCGCTTGGCACGCGCACCTGGCAGCCATCGTTGGCAGGCATCAGCCGTCGCATCCACCTTCAGCGCACTCTCGCGGCGATGGGCCCTCGGCGCTGCTCTGGCTTTGCGACCGACGACGGGATCGTCATCGAGTGCTGCTTCTATCCGTGGGAGAAGGGCAAGCGCGCGCAGGGCAAGTTCGAGGGGAAGTGTCAGCGGTGCTCTCCCATTCGCATGGCAACCATCTGCGCGACGCCGCAGCAGTCCAAGCTGACCGCGCACAGCCTGGCGAACCTGCACAAGCTTGACATCGGCATCTACGACATGGCCGTGGAGCGGGTGAAGATGCACGAGAGGGGCGATCAGCTCATTGCCCGCGCTGTCGGCATAATCTCGGAGCGCTCGCAGGTGGGCGTGCCGCCACCGCCGCCAATCGAGGGTGACCAGGGCGACGTGGTGTCGCAGCCCGCCGAGGAGGATATTCCTGCTGCCATGGAGCCCGACGAGGGAGCAGCCGCAGCAGGGCCAGCAGCGGCAGCGGAGCCGCGGCCCGTACCCGCGGAAGGCGAGGGCGCGGCCGCTGGGCGCAGACGCAAGCGCCTCTGCGAGGGATACAGCCTGGCGCGCGCCATGGGCCGCAGGCTCCGCAGCAAGGAGGACGAGGGGGTCTGCTTGTTCTCCCGAGAGCATCCTGGACAGCGTGCCATAGCGCTCGACGGGAAGTGCCTCTGGTGCACGCCTGCTCGCATGAAGGAGGCGGCAAGCAATCCCGCCAAGAAGCAACATGCCGTGACCGACCTGAAGAAGTTCGAAGCTCGCAACCCTGCGCTGAAGCAGAAGGCGCTGGGGCGTCTGCGCAGGCACCTCACCGCGCAGGAATATAAGGTCATCGTCACGCCGCACAACTGCTGCCGCGGCGCAGGGGATGCCATGTGCCCCTTCAGCACGACGAACCCAGGGCAGCCCGCGTACGTGAAGAAGGCCGACAAGCACCTGTGCAGTTGGTGCGACCCGCAGAGATTGCATGGCATGCAAAGCGTGAATCGAACAGGAGTGTTGAAGCAGCTGCAGATTTTTCGCGAGAAGGACGAGAGCGTCTTCGACAAGGCAGAAGCCATCCTGAAGGCTGTGTTCGGGGACAACTACCGCGCGCAGATGAGGAAGAAGACGGTGCGCCACAACCAGCAGGCGGCACGAGCCCCGAGGCGCAAGGGCACCACGAACTGGCCAGAGAAGTTGCAGAAGCGGAAGTTGGTGATGCAGGACCCCAAAGACAGCAAGGAGGCTCGCAAGAAGTTCCGCAAGCTCACGCTGGACAACCACAAGAAGGTTGAGAATTCGTTCTTCAAGGACAAGGCCGAGCGGAAGGAGCGGGGGCGCGTCGACGAGGTGCCCAAGGGTCCTGCCTTGGACCCGCCGGTAGAGCCAGCGGGTTTCAGCGACCTCTCGAAGGGGCTGGAGTCCTGGGCTTTGCGCGGCTCCTGGGGAATGTGCAAGGAATGCGGCGTCCTGCAGCCGCGCCCGATGCACGAGATCGACATGTTCCGAGACGCCAGCGAGGAGATCTCGAAGAGCGCTTGCCGTCGCTGTAACGCCGCCCGAAAGATGTACGTCCCGCAGCCTGAGGACGTGCCAGGGCCTCTCCGCGGACTGTCGGAGGAGATCGTGGAGGCTCTCCGGCCCATCGAGATCGACGTCGGCCCCGGGACGCGCTCCACCGACTCAACCGGGCGCCCGAACGGCTACCGCAAGAAGGTGAAGATGATTACTTTCTATTTCTCGCGGTGGAGCGTCAAGGACAAGATCAAGGAGCTGGAAGGTCGCGAAGCGCGCAGTAGAGCGCGGAAGGCACATGATTACCTCATGTCCTGCGAAGACTCCGCCTACGAGCACTTCCACAACATGCATGCCAAGTTCCTTCGCAAGCAGGGTGAGGATGCGCCCGATAGAAAGCGGAAGCGCCCGTACCACTTCCTCCAGGAAGTCGGGTTGGAATGCGCTCTGTGGCCGCACCTGTACTGGCGCACGGATATGACGGAGACGCACGAGCAGTGGTCCGACGCGCGCCGCTCGGAGAGGCGCGACGCCCAGGAGACGAGGAAGACAAAGGGCAAGGCCAAGTACCCATGCCAGTCGGACTCGGACGACGAGGAAGACGACGGCGACGACGCTGCAGGCAGTGGCCAGCGCACCAGCGTTAAGCGGTCGTTCATGATCAAGTGCTTGTCGCCACTGCTCGGGTACGGGTCCAACTTCGTGCTGCTGCAGTTCGTGTACGACCTCAATCTGTGGGCTACGCTCGGAGCCAAGAAGAACCTCGGCTTGGACAACGTCCCGATGAGGGTACTCATGAAGGGTCACACCTTCTCGCCAATGTACTGGAAGGAGGTGCACAACGGCCTCGTCGACCTGGTCCGACAGGTGGGCTTTCCGAAGCTCTTCTTCACCATCGCGCCCTGGGAGCCGTCCTTCAAGTACCGCGACTGGTTGCGCGACGAGATGGAGAAGTCGCTGAAGACCCGCATGAACTTGCCCGTCGGGGAAACCCTGCACATGTCCCACGTGTTGATGCAGACCATCGCGGGCTGTTGGCAGGGAACAATCAGCAGGCGCTGCATCAGGGAAACCGCTGCTGGACAAAGCACGTGTTCGCCGCGAAAGACGCCGACGGCAAGCAGGTCCGCGTGCAGACATTTACGCGGCTGGAGTTCCAGGACGGAAGCCGCAAGGAGGGCACGAAGCGCTACGACGGCTCTGGCCGCCCGCACCTGCACGTGTTGTTCTTCGCGGACGAGGATGCCATGGCGAACATGAAGCTAGAGCACCACCTCTTCGCAACGAAGCCCGAGCATTTCTCAGAACATCTGAAGGGGTACGTGGACGGCTCCCAGTTCAACAAATACGGCGACGTAGAAAGCAAGTGGCCGATCTATCACGGCCCACCAGGTGTCCACGGTGCCGACGGCATCCTTCAGCTCAAGCACACAACGGAGGACCACGACGGTGGGATGAGAGCGTATTGCGCTGACGTGATGGACGGCCTCCCGTGTCATCAAGATTGGCTCACCAGCGATGGCGAGGCCATGCTGCTACAATACGTCTCCAAGTACGTCGCGAAGTTCTCAGACTCGAGCTACGACGAATGGATGAACGACCAGGCGTCCGCCGACAGCGTGGCACGCCGCGTATGCTTTGAGTACCACCCGTACGAGCCAGAGATGATCCTCCAGCTGTGCGGCGCGCAGTTCAGGCAATATGAGATCTCCACGAGCAGTGGCGGATTCCGGACGGTCTCTGCGCCGTACGCGGGTATGGCCGAGGTGCCCGAGTGGGTGCACAAGTATGCCGAATGCTCCTGGCGCCACGAGGAAATGACCCTCCTAGAATGGTTGCGAAAAACCACAGACGACGGTGCCATTGCCGGGTGGCTGAGGCGCAGGCACAAGCAGGAGCTAGTGCTGGCACTCTATCGCCGGTATCGTGCGTTCGTAGCCGAGGGCGAGGATTACCTGACGCTCGACGCCCACTGGCGCACCCTTCGCGCCGAATTCAAGGACGACATGGCCGTGGACAATGGAAGCAACGTGAGTGACGGCGAGGGCGATGCGGAGGAGTGCACGCAGCCCGCGACCTTCGAGAAGTTTCTTTCGAAGAAGCACGACAGCGAGAAGCAGGACGGCGAGCCGGACTTCCCCACGGTGGAGGAGTTCGCGCGGTCGTATAAGATGCAAGGCGAGAAGGTGGTCAGCGTCGACACCGTCTACGAACTCAACGACCGCTACTACGGCCAGTGGGCAGCCATGAACGTTCCCTTCCGGTCGCTTGACCAGTTGTTGTTTGAGGACGTCGACAGGCTCGTCCCGCGCAGGTACCGATACTTAGCATCGGCGCTGCGGCTGTGTTCCGACCAGAGGCGCGTTGCCGAGGAGCACTGGAATCTGTTCACCGACGACAGGAGCCTGGTAGACTACATGAAGGCGTGCGCCAAGTCGCAGAAGTTCGTCGACAACGTGCAGCGCATGGTCATCGGTCAGAGGAAACTCGTCGATATGTACTTGACGGGCGTCCTCAACAAGGACGACGAGCAGGCCGCGGCTGATGCGGAGGCCGCTGTTGTTGGAAATCGCAGGCGGCCGCGCGACGACGCGGAAGGAGCTGCGCCTGTCGTATTCAACGACAAGCAGTTCCTCTTCGAGTCCGTGATTAACGACAGCGTGGACCGCGCAATCCTGGCAAATCATTCCGACGATTGGGAAGAGGCAGATGACGCGCGGGAGAACGCGCACCAGAACAACAAGCCAATCGTCTGCCTCGGGAAGCCAGGCACGGGCAAGACCACAGTGGTGAAGGCTTGCATCCGGCGCGCACAGGAGAAGGGCGGCCGCATTCTGTTTGCGCTTCCGACTGCGCAGCTGGCCAGTCGAATGCGCGGATCGCTGAGCGACCTCGAAGGCGACGGCGTGGAAGTGGCCACGTGCCACGCAGCATTCAAGCTCAACGAGCCAATCACAGAGTCACTGCCTCTCATGACGCTCTACGACCTGGTCGTCGTAGACGAGGTGTCTCTCCTCGACTGCCAGCAGTTCGAGCGCATGATCAAGCTGTGGAAAGTGGCTGGGCAAGTGCCGACGCTCGTCTTCCTAGGAGACAAGTACCAGCTGCCCGGCGTCGGGGAGACGCGTGCATGGGAGAGCGTCGCCTGGCCAAAGCCACGGTGCTTCCACGTGAAGCTCACTGAAGCGTGGAGGTGCAAGGAGGAGCGTTTTCAAGATATCCTTGACGAGCTCCGAACCTCGAAGCCCAGCAAAGACACGCTCAATCGTATTTGCCGCGGGCACAAGGCCTGGAAGAAGGGTGACCCAACGCCTGCTGATCTCAAGAAGCTCTTCGACGAGTGCCCGAACACAACTATCGTCACCTGCACGCGCAGAGGGTCCACGGCCGTGAACGAAGCGGCGGTGGAGGCCATCTACGGGCGGAAATCCCCACTGGTGACGCTCGACGGCGACGTGGAGCTCAACCCCGAGAACTACCGCGACGGCGAGTTCCGCACCGACAGGCGCCCGAGGCCCAGCAAAGTCCCGATCTACAAAGGCATGCGCCTGTACCTCACGAAGAACGTCCGAAAGGAAGATGACTTCGTGAACGGCATGCTCTGCACGGTCGGGAACTACTACGCGGACGAGAGCATGCTGCGGGTGAAGACGAAGACCGGAAAGCAGTTGGCAATCACCTTGTGGACCGACCGCGACAAGAACAATGCTGTGTACTTTCCCATCCGCATGGGCTACGCGAGCACTATCGACAAGGTCCAGGGAGACGAATTCCCTCACATCACTATCTACCTGGACGGGTGGCCGCGTCCCGCGGCAGGATACACGGCGCTCAGCCGCGTTGCCACGTCCGACTGCTACAAGATCGGCGGACACGTAGATCGCGACCACTTCATCCCGGCCTTCTGAACTTGGCTGGACGCGGACGCCGCCGCAGCTGGTTAGACTCACGCTGTAGTTCGCGCCATTGCGTGCGAGCATTTTCCGCTGGGTAGCACCTCGTGAAACCCCGAGGCACTAGTATGTCAGGCTCCAGCAGCGACGCCACGAGCTTGCCGCCAGCGAGAAAAACATATTTGCCGTCCGACGCACTCAGAATCAGCGCTTGAGGACATCGCAGTGCACACGGCCCAGAGAAATTCCTTGGGGGGAGGGGGGGCGCGAGGGGGCGGGGTGGGCGCCCCTTCGCACAGCGGCAGCATTAGCGTTCGGAGCGACGTCGGCCCTGCAGGGCCTGCCAAACTATCTCCAGGATCCTTGGAAAGGTTCGCAGCATGAGGCCGCGGCTTATTTGGGACGTTTTTTTTTTGGGCATTTCCCGGGCCAGCGTAATTCCTGAAGGGCATTGGCGGTGGGTGGTGCTGAAGATGGCTTTGGGCGCATCGCAGACGACGCAGGCTTGCCATGCTGCGGCTTTGAATCGCTTGGAAGGCCTCTGTGGGCAGCAGAGCTTGTAGTTTGAGGTCGCCCCCGCTGAAGCGATTGCAATCATCCGCAGACGCTGTCGACGCGAGCTTCGGAAGGCGGGAGGAGGAGCGCGAGGAGGTGGGTCTGGCACCCCCCTCGCTACGATGCGCGCGCATGGCTGCGGCAGCACGTCCATGGCAGACCCCTTGGAATGCCTTGGGGGAGCTCTCTGGAAACGCTGGGGGAGCGCCTCGACCTTTCCCCAGGATGGAGGCACGTGGGAGCGTCTGGGAGCGTGACAGGACACGCAGAGTGCACCGCGAGTGCGAGCCGTGAATTGTCCGTCGGGTTCGACCGTTGGCGTCGCCCCCGCGGTTTAGGGTTTAGGGTTTAGGGTTTAGGGTTTAGGGTTTAGGGTTTAGGGTTTAGGGTTTAGGGTTTAGGGTTTAGGGCCTGCATTGGCGCAAGCGCGCGCTGGCTGCGATCCCCCCCACATCAAGGTTGTTGGGGGGGATCGCTG